ATGTCGTGCGACGATATGTGCGGTCACCTACGCTTTACATGCATACGAATAGCTTGAAATTAGTTTTTCAATCAATTTATTTTGGTAAAGAAGAACGTTTTAATTTTTATTCAAGAAGTTTCTCTTTGGGCTTAAAAAATAAAGCCGAAACTGTATCTTGGTAAACAATCAATTTTGTATGAAAATCTTTTTTTTTCTTTGAAAAATGAGACATTGAAATCTATCGTTGTCATTTCTGTTTGAGAAGATATCAGAGACTACAGATTTATAATATTATTTACAAGAACTTATACGAATAATCAAAGAAAGATTAAAAGTTTAAAATATANTTTTCTTAAATTTTAGTTGAAAAATTATTTGTGAAGAGATCGATTTGTACAATATGTTATCAGAATTTAAATGACCACAACAACAATATTAAATGTATCGTGAATGAAACAAGACTTCATGTTGATATTTATGAAATTGACATGAAATTAGCATTTTCGCAAATATTGGATCGTTTATATCCTGATATTATTCAGTACAAACAAGAAATTGCATCACAATCATTGATAGAAGACAATGATATTCCGTTTAATACGTTATATCAGAATATGATTAGTCAATTTACCACTGAGAAAAACTTTGTCAGTCTTATTCTTCATATTGATGATGTTTCTCTTTGTAAATCTTCAAAATTAATACTATGGCTTCTTAGTGGTGCGTTTGTAGAATTACCACCACATCTAAGATATCGACGTTCTAATATGATATTATTATCAATCTGGATCGGCTATCAAGAACCGATACCTAAAGCATGACTATCATAATGTGTCGATCGTTTAAATAGATTAAAAACTGAAGGTAAGCGTTTCCATAGCTAAGTTAGATTTAAGTTAATCAAAATGGCAAAATTTACATGTAAAATTCGACAATAGCATCTAGTTAAAAATTAGAGAAGCAATCTCTATTTAAAAAGAAAGATGAACGAACGAATTCATGCTTAAAAAGTACTCGAGGTTTATTTAAAAAAAAAGAAACAGTGATGAATCACAATATCTTTTCCTAATTTTTATCAGTATCTTACTATATTTCAGAAAATTATTCATCGATACATCATAATCATAGAGTAATAGAGTATATATGTTTTATATTTTCAAGAAAGAAATAGAAATCTATACAAGTTTTATCTTTACATTTCAGTCATTTTTGGAGACAGAATAGTTAATATTTCTTTACTTTTAGGCATATTATTGAGCGACGGCAGCAAGTGTCAAGTGTTATTTTATGGCATCATTGGCGATTGCCCGGCTCTCAAAGTTAT